AGCTAGGTAAGTTATATAAAGAAAATACTCTGGTATAAGTAAGCAAAAGCAAGATGATGAAGATTCCATAACAACTTGTCCTGTAAAGTGGACATCTCAGGACTTGCCAAGTTGCTTTTATAACAAATAACCTTAATTATCACACATCGATTTGCAATGTTTTTCCAACCTTCTCTTCAAAACCATGTTCTTTTTACCCACCATTCGGACCTAAGTGGCAAATCAGTCACAGTACTTTTAGCAGGCGCGTTCATTGTTACAAATAAACCGACTGCGAATGTACTAGTTTCAAGGAGAGTATTATGAGACTTGAGCTTATACTCCCAATCCTTTGTTTGGTTGGCATTCTCCTAATCCTTTGTGTTGTGGCCAGTGCCTCCGGGTGCAAAGAAAGTCATTTTTACAGCTTGCAATTCGGGCAAGCTGAAGCTAACATTTACTAGCCCAAACATAATTTCAACTAGCCCCAAAACGTTTTGATGAGCAGATTGCTTTCACAGTTCTTCTGTAATTTGAATTCCTCAGAAAACTTCACTTGCCTGTTGTGCAAGTGAATAACAGAATTCAATAGCCTGATAGTGAAATCCACTAGCCCTGGGCTATCAGACACTACTTTCTTTGCACGCAGTGCCTTTTCCCTCAAATCAGTCTTGTATTAAATGTGCTTCCAATCAATTTTTCATTGGTGCAGAATCTTCACATGCCGATGCAAGAAAAGAATGTGCAAGTGTGACCTTGTCTAATGTAGAGAGATGCATGCATTTGTTAAAAAATGGTATGGATGTGTTTTTCATGAATTACATTTTGAAGTCTATTATGCTGTCTAGGTATTCTGCTGGCTTCTCTTTTTATCATGGTGCAACTGAAGGTGCACTTGTAACATTAAAAATGGCAGAATACTGCTACGCAGGGATTTCTAAATCCCTTCATTAAAGTTCTGTGTTCTTGAGTTTACTGATGTTTTCTGAGTCCCTGAGTTTACAAATTTCAAGAGTGTAGTTATATGATTGCCAAATCTAAGCTAATTTTCAACTCAACTCAACTAATTTCAACTCTAACAAACTCAACTTTTAAATTATTGGAAAAAACAGTCATGGTACACATTTTTGAAGCTTTAGCTTTTCATAGCGCTTTAAAGCTCCACAGATGACAAAAACTGGGATTTTACAGCTAAAAAATCAGCAGATTTGATGCAAACTTCTGTTAGAATTGACTCGAAGTAAAGTCACGTCAACTACTTCATGTCAAAAACGCTGAAACAGTCCAGGGGCCAAATCCCAGAACTTGAGAGAGCGCGTTTATGTTGGTACATATACGTACGATTCCTGGTTAAAGAGCTAAGAAGGGACTGCTACAGAATATTCAGTAACATTTTTATTCTGGGAGAGAAAAATGTACATAAGTACAGCTGTAATAGTCCAGTTTCGAATTAAAAATTACTGCTGAATGCAAACATTAACGACACATTCATACAGGGTTAGTCTTGACATGAAGTAAAATATTCAGAAATTCCAGCAAGTGTTTGAAATTTGAATATACACAATAGACAGAGTAATAAAGAGGTCTTTTTCTTGTTAGAATTTGTGAATATATTACTTCAGATGGAGGCTAAGCCTGTAAAAATGTGTCTCCACTTCTTTAATTCAGCGGTCAAAGCAAACTCAAAACTGGACTATTGAGTTGGTAATAATGACATTATCCTTTGTCTAAACTATTATTTTGTATTTCTTTATACAGCACCATTTCACCATGAGGGGAGTGAAAATCCAATGTTATTTTTGGAAGATGGTTCTGTTTTGAAGAGTACACTGCTAGGTGCTTTAGAGTGTAAGTTGGCTTGTCCTACAGTGTAGTAGTACACTTTTAAAACTTGTCCTTTGTCTCATTTTTAGAGAAACTAATTTTTAGCTTTTACAATCAAGCAAATGCTGTGTTAGAGAGGAATCTTGCATCTGAGGAGACCAAGTTTGGTGGAGGATGCCAGAAAATGCACTTTTCAATGGTGACAGCTCTGGCCCTCAGTATCACTATGGTATACTACTTTTAAATTCCTGTTTTATTTTCCTTTCTCTTCCCTCTTTAGTTTTGACAATGGCTACACTTCAAAGTAAAGAAGCTCTGCCTGTTCCAAAACAGATGTACCAGGCTTGCATTATCAAACTTGAAGGTACCTTATATTTTTATTAGAGTCCTTTTAGTGTATTCTAAAAGATAATAGGTGTTTCTTAATATTTAGAGATAGTTGAATGCAAGGTATGCCTGTCTTGTTTGCTTGGATGTGCTTCCTTTGCTTTCCTTTACAATGTGTTCTCTTATAATGATTGCTGGGCAATAATATTATTGTATTTACAGCGTGCAAAGAAAGTCATGTCTGATAGCCCGGGGCTAGTGGATTTTGCTATCGGGCTAGTGATTTTTGTTCTTAACTTGCCTGACAGGCAAGTGCTGCTTTTTTTTGGGAAATTCAAATTACTGAGGGATTGTAATCAACCCTACTAATCAAAAAGGGTTTTGAAGCTGGTTGAAATGACTTGTGGGCTATGCCCAAATGGCAGAATGTAAAACTGACTTTCTTTTCACCCTGATTTAACTACCAGAGCTTTGTTGTATTAGATGGCTATTTCAATCCCCAGGTCTTTCATCCATTGTTGATGACTATTCGAAGATTAAATCAAGGGTGGAGCAGATGGTGGATAGTCTCTTGCATTATCTTCTACAGCTTAGAAGTCCATCACCGGTAGGAAAATTTCTGCATTTATTTAAGGTGGCTCGGTAGGGTTTTTTAACTGCCTGACAACTAATTTTCAACCCTCGAGGAAATTCATTTAGTCATGACTTTTCTGGAATATCAATGTTACATGTAAACTATCCATACACTGAAGTTTGATATGCAGTTAGCTTTTGGAAGATGGAAGCGTCCCTCGCAACTCGGATGTTGCCATGGCAAACTTTTGTTATTTGGTATCAAATTTTGCCGAGAGAAAGGAACTCTTTAGAACAATTGGTTAAAAGCATGAATAATGCACATTATGGGTACTAGCACTTTGGCCAAGTTTGGTTGATTTCTATAAGAGCATTTTTAAATAAAGCATGTCTGTTTTGGATTTTTTAAGACATTTTAACCAACCCATGAAAATAACGAATCAGTGAAATGCCCACAAACTTTTCTTCACTGTATCAGACAGGTACTTTTTCAAGCCTTCAACGTTCAGTAATGCTACAAAATCAGTTTGATGATCTCTCTGTATTTTCAGTATTTCTGCAAAAATGAATAGCGTGGCTAATTTATTTGTTTATTTTAGTTTCCATAAATGAATTTTCTTTAAATTTACTTGAAAGGTCTATTATTCCCCATACTAGTTCCCATCAAAGTTTGAAGTTTATTGATGTAATCTAAGGGTATAAATAACCGACACCAAAACTACAATGTTTGCGCTATGTTCTTGAGAGCCCTTTCCTTGCAAGACTTTTCTATCGTCCATATATTCATACCACCATAGTCTACCATGTGTGAAACTTGTAGTGCTTCATTAGCCACTACTCTGAATGTGATAATAAGGGGCTGTGTCACTACACAGCATTTATCCTTGTTACATAATGTGCCACAGATATATCTTACCAGTCCACGTCCAATATAACTCCACGCCTTCCACTTTACACATCTCAACCAATCCCTAAAATATACAACGCTACTGCACTACTCACACATCCCTAACACACTTAAAAAACTTCCACACCTAGTACATTGACACCCAAATGTATGCCCCCACAGCATCTTGTCTTTATTAATTCATGTCACAGCTGGAAGCTGCCAACTGCCATTTACTGTATATTCATCTTGGTCTGCTTTATGTCATACATGTATATTTTTTACAGTACTGATTTTAATAATCAAACTAGACTTCCTAATATTGAAATTAACTTGAAAACACCCAGTATCAAAGTCCAACCAAATTTTCAATCATGAACTATAATTTCAAACCAAGTTTTGGAATTGAATTTCAGCTTAGGAAAGCTCTATTATGAAACCGGTGCTCTTTTCTTCAATCCTCTAACCAGATTCTAATGCTGTTTTTGTGCTGTGACCTGTTAATGCATAAAAACCTCCCTGCGAGATATAAAACTGTACAGGACTGTATTCCTAGATAAAGTACTACTAAAGGCCTCCTGATGGAGACATTATCATTCAAATATTTTCGCATTTTCTAAAACGTATTTTGTAAATTCAAGATATTAACATTTACACTGTAGTATGCCAAAACTTTTGTCTTTTTTGCTGTGCTATCTTATATCCTAATATGAATAAAGTGATTGCACGCATCCACTGTTATATCTTTTATGATAGTATATGAGTACCATCCTGGGTCATTCGGTAAGACCAGTTTGATGAAAAAAAAGTGGAACAAAATAGCCGTAGTTGCCTGCAAAGTTGATCGTGGTCTTATAATGGGGCTGGAATCCTTCCACAGAGTAACCCATAAAAATGGTAACAGACATCATTTTTGTGCAATTGGGTGTATCAAAACCTGATGAAAGGTTTACCTCTACAAAAGTGAATAATTATAAAAGGATAGAGTGAACAATTAGAAGTTAGTTGGGGGTGGGGGGAGGGGGTGCTTGTAATATTTTGCTTAACGGTAGTTTTTACTTTAACTTAGTTGTGCACAATTTTTGATTGTGAAACTGTTCAAGGCTTTTCTAAGTTTCAAAGCCATTTTTTGCTGACCTAGCGTGAAGTTCATCAAAGTTTACTGCCTGGTAATGCTTACAGACAATAACCCTTTTGTGCCTCCTGCTTGGTTGATGCCATCAAAGGTATTCATTTCCATGCCAGCCTTTACCAGCTTCTATTTCATGCTAGCAAACTGTAAGGCGATAGCAAGTTTATCAAGACCTGAAAATCAAAACGCTCCTTCGTGGGCAATCAGAGAAATTTACCCACCATCGGAATTCTGTCGACATTTTTCCAAAAAGCCAACAGATTCTGTAATTGGCTGTCTTTATCTGTTAGCCCTCAGATTTTGCAAATTCTCTTGTATGATCTTAGCGCCATCTCTGTACTGCACACTTATACCATGCACTTGGGTGGGAGAGTCTGCAATTGTTTTGGTGTCAGGGAGAAGATAACGTTCAAGGCGTACAATACTGTTTGGTCGAGAGGAAGCTATTTGTAGGATTTCAGCATTCTGATCTAGACCAGTGGTCTCAGAGTCAAGTACCATTTTATTCGCCACTTGGTAGACGGTGCTTGTCATGCTACTTGTCTGGAATGTTGTGGTGCAGTTAGAATACTTATGGAATTCCTCCTGTGTTAGTGATGCCTATAAATTGTTCAAGGTTCTGTTTGTAATGCCCATGTCTCCTTGAGACCTACATGTATGTTGGCTTGTCCCAACAGGAGCCAACTTGTTGGTTGCTTCTTCAGTGAGGAAAGGAGTGAGGGTATCTTTGAGGCCTGCACCGAGATCATAACCACTTAGGACTTTTCCACATAGTAAGTCTGCATGGCAATAATTGTCAAGGTGTGTGTCGTGTTTGCACAAAGTCGAGTATGCCTGGTGATTCCTGAAAGGGTGAGGAACAATTGCCCCAGTGAACTGGGGTCGCTCTTGTTCTGGTTGAAGCATTATGTGAAGCACCTTTGGATGTATGCAATAATAGTGGGGGTTAGTCCTTTGACCTTTCCTTAATGATTGTCTTAAGGTAGCTCTCAATGGTGGTGTCATTGTCGCCCACATTGGAAGAATACAGGAAGATAACTTGATTAAGCCGTGAAGTGTACAAAATAAACAAAACTGAGCTGAAGCAGCTTCCCTGCAGGACACCACAGCTCAAATTAAAATCATCCGAAGACCAGTTGTTGATATGAACACTGCTTTCGAGCAGATAGATATGAGGCAAACCAATCATGGGCAGAACCGATGATTCCAAAATTATTTTCAAGGACATAGAGAAGAATTTTGTGATCGATGGTGTCAAAAGCTGCAGTCAGGTCTAATAGCACTAGAGGTGTTATTTCCTGACTATCCATAGACATGAGAATACCAGTCTAAACTTTAAGCAAAAAGCATTTTTTTAACAATGGAACATCCATTCAAAATGCACCCTTAAATTAGTACAAAAATTACCCATAACTAGAAAATGACTCGAGAGCAAAAGATATTTTTGAGTTTTATTACTTGTTTGCCTTGTTTTTTATGATAAGGGAAAGCTAATCAAACAAACTTTTCTTTATTAAATTCGAAATAAATCAAACATTTTAAATTAGTATAAATTGCTGTTTGTGTCAGAAAATGCAACAAATTAGTGAGAATTGTAATAAATAAAACTTCATGAAAGTAAAAAAGACATGATGGAGCTTTCACCCTTTCTCTTTGCTAACTTCCTTGAGGATGTTGCCCAGTATTGCAAATGTGTCAAATCGAAAATTTTGCTGTTCCTTTTCATACTGCTGGTCAGCCTTCATCATCCTCTCTATGAAGGCCTTTGTTCCTTTGTTTGGAATGCACAAGGAAAGACAGCAATGTCGGCTCATCCACACCTGAGGCACAATAATTGGTCTTCTTTCTGTTACTTTTTTGGCTGTTTTTCCTTGTGTTCTTCCTTGCTTCTTTGGTGTTTTGTGACTTGCCGGCGGCTTTTTGTTCTTCCTTTGTTTTTGAAGAACGTCAGTTTGGACAACACCAGTGGATCGTCATTTACTGGTTCATCACCATTAACATGCTGCTGCTAAAGTGCCTGGCATGTTCTAGTAGTGTAATGGTTGTGTGCTTGAAGTGGCTGACAGTGTGCTTATTGTTTAACCAAATTGTCAGGTAAAACTCTGGCTTAGTAAGGAAACCTGGACTCAAAGTGCCAACAGTTACATGAAAAAATAAGACATTGTTGACCTTTTTGTCCCTTTTTTACATCCATTTGTTATGACATATTAAGATAATTAGTTAATTGCAGAAGATCTTGGCAAGTTCTACTAAGCTTTTAAAGGGAGTTTTCCAGTGATAGTGTGCTAGTAAATTTGGTGTGAACTACCACTTAGTAGAAATACATGCAAAAAACCTTACAATTCTACGTTTTGGTATTACGTGATATCAAATAGTTACTGGTACTTAAAAGAATCCACAGCATCTTATGCTTATAGAGAAAAGGTCTTCTCTGATCTTTGATGCCCAATGAACACCTTGTAATTGTGACCTTGGGCTTTCTTTGGAGCCTTTAAGTTTTTATAATGGAGTGAAGGTATTTTAGTGTGTCTGGAATCTGTAGAGCACTTCAAGTTGTGTCTTTTGTGTACTGGAACATGGAATTTTTAGTTGGGGAATCCTGCAGTACTTATGGTGGTAGAGCCCACTACTAATGGTGGATGGAGGCATAAGATCTAGGAGGTTGCTGGTACTGGTTGGGGTTTGACATTTGTCTTTGTTCGAACAATTGAATCAAATCGGTCGTCATCTTTGCATTTTTGGGTGCTGTTGAAGATGTGCCTCTTTTTTTGTTTTTGTGGCAGTCATTCAACAAAAAATTCACCATGGTAAACACTTACCTGTGTCCACTTAAACTCTGTGTCAGGGCCTATGGGACTTTGACTGACTTCAGTGTATTTTAGGGATTACTGAACAGTGCTCTCACCACCAAGTGATGGCAAGCTACAGGAAAACAAATCATTACCCAATTTCAAGGCCTATTCCATTAATTTGTCAGTCTCTAGACTTAACTCCATCACAGCCAGTGTGACCTTGCTCAGTTGGGTTTTGGTGGTTTTCTCGTGGAAGGGCTGCAATGTGTTCCGTAGTTAAAGCATGGTCCCTGTCCTTGTTTAAAGGTTACCTTTCTTCTTGTAGCATCTTGAGCCTTACATTAAGCATTATTCAAGAAAGACAGGTGGCATCAATATTTATGAAAATCTATTTTATTTTTTGCAATCTGCCTTGATATCCTACAGCTACGTTTTTACTAAATTAACCGAGAAGAGTGTCACTTCACAAGTATGAACACAGTGATTGCAACGTTTTCTTGTGAATAACAAAAATGTAAAGTGAGACTGATTTTTGTACGGATTAACTAGAAGTTTTGTTTGTTAGTAAATTACCAAAATAGGCGACTTCAATTGAAACCACCTAATTCTAATTCTAAAAATCCAGATGGTCTTAACTGCAATGTAAGCACAATTTTTCCATTTTGAAAATGTAGAGGTATTGGCCCAAAGAACCGAATGTATATGATTGGTGTTTTCTTGATCACAGGGTCCCAGGACCTATGGACATAATTAATATATGCTGAACTTGGTGAAGCAGTAAAGTCTTGAGCCTTCTTCATTGTTGGGTAATTCCAGACAAGTAGTGTCTACAAAGCACACATGTTTATAGTACCCAGGGAAAAATTTACTTTGCTGGATCGAGCGTCACTGGAAGAGCCGGCTGTGGCAGGCTCCCCGTTGTCATTTGAGTTTTCATCGAAAGCAACGCAAAGAGCTACTAAGGGCTGCTAACCCGCAGCAGCTTGGGGCACCTTTAGCTTCACCGGCCGGTACGACCACCCCCAGCAGATGGTATAAGCACACCACCTGACATAGGACAAGCCCACCGAACAAGAAGAGAGCACCATTGTCTCACTCACAATAGCTGGGCAAGATCACAGCCCAAAATAAATGAGCCATATGACTGATGTTAAAGTCTGGCTAGGCAGATGTAAGTAGCCTGAGGGCCTATGGCCGCTGGCTAGCGGTGGCAATGTGAATGCCGTCCCGCCATAAAATCCATGGGCAGTATAAGGCCCACACGTATGTAGGGCCTTCCGCCCTACTGTGCCTCATTTTCCAGATGTAAAAGCAGACTTCCGCTCAAAAGAGCATATGAAGGGACATAGCCCTGATGTTGAATATGTGAGTGATAGGCACAATCATCAAGCAAGGCAGACAAGGGCCTGCGAAGTGCGGCTGTGTAGACTAGGGGCAGCACGCACCAGCCAGCTAATAACGACTCCCGCCGCGAGAAGGCAGCACCCTATGGAGAATCAATGATGTTTTTTTCTTGTTATCAAGCAATGTAACAAATGTGGATGATGCACACTTTTGACCTCAAAGTCAATATTGGATAATGTAAACGACTTAAAACACTCATTTTCGAGAAAAACGCCTATGGTAGAGTCAATACATGTCTGTAAACTTCTTTCAAATCGAATTTGAAAAATGGTAGTAACCATGTAAACTACCACAATGGACATTTTGTAATGTCTGTGACATTCCTACATTTTTTCTTTTGTTAATCATTTGTGTAATTGATTTTTAAGTCATCTCCTACATAGCTAAACATTGATTAAAAACTACCTGCTAAAGACAAAGCTCTTGTAAACTGGAAGATTCAAGCGATAACTAAAATAACATTTTTCACAGTTATGACACTGATTTAACTGGAGTAAAAAGACTTAATGCTTAAAAGTAGGGGTCAGAAAATATCTCATCTGTCCACATGCCATACCTAATTGACTTTCTATAAGCAAAAAAGGCTTCTAATAGCCTTGTAAAGATTCACTTTGTCATGAATTGCCCCTGTGCTCCCCATAAATCCATGACAATTTATTTAACTACAGAAATGAATTAATCACAAACAAGGATTCGTCTCACTATTAAACTCGCTCTCTCCTGATTACTAAGTAAAAGTACTGTAGCCGTGAGCTGTGTATAAAAGATGATACTATTTGAATTTCAACAACTGCAATACTTACAAAATCTCCTTCGGAAAAGCTAATTGCTGTTTAATTATTTTGTTTCTTTTCCTATGTGTCAATCTAAACCACTGAAGCACTAATTGATCCAATCTCCAACACTCTCCCACCATAAAGCTCCTCTTGAGGTATATGTCTCCCAAATATCAACTTCACATAATTGTTCATGACTTTACACTAAAGAAAATGAAATGAAAGAAAGTGTTCTTTTAGTCTTGCCCCTGTAGAGCAATGGTCTTAATGTTGCCTGCTGCTGCTCTGCAGCAAGGTCAGAAGACTTTTGCCTCAGTATTCGTCATTACAGGGCAGTGTTGTCACAACTCAACTCCATGAGGAAGAGATGTTGAATGGCCCTTTATCTATTTCCCCTCGCGGTTTCTAATTGAACGGCTCCAATAATGCCATCATGCTGTAAACAAATGACTTCCCCTTCATGTCTCTTTGATGGTACTAGTTAGCCACTAATTCTGATTCTTCCTATACAATTTGATGAGTATTTCATCTACCACTTTGTTTTCAAATTTGTTTCCTTTTTTGAACAGCTTGCTAAAGTGGAAATTGAAGTGGTCCAATAATAAAACTCTAAGCTGTAACAGGACCAAAAGGGACATCTGACTGGTGAAAAAAAAAACCCTGGTGGAGTTTGAGACAGCTTTTTTGGAGGCATTTCTTGGATTTAGGTGCCTGTTGACCGGATTTTGGGTTTCGGTGATCATGGAACACCTGGCTACCAGATATTTTGCAAACGGGCAGGTGAAATACCACAAACATATTGTACTTTCTCGCTCCTGGGTCTCATCAGGCTTGTTTGCAATTGAAGGTTACTGCTTGATGTCTTTTGTCTGGTCTACTCAAAACTCCATCCTTCCCAGCATCAGCATCCTTTGCAACCCTTTTAAAAGTATAAACCGAAGTTGCAACCTTGGACAACTCTTTTACAGATAGTTTCAGCACACTGTAAACCATAGTACAATGCTCAGACATGAGGGTCCGTGAAAGTTAAATTTCTGTAAAGAAGAGTTGGAGAGTATCTTTTTTTGGTGCATAGTGACTGCTTGATTGACAGAAAAATCAATGTTACCAGAAGATTTTGGTTGATGATGATGTAGGTATCAGGTGCTATTTCCTGGGTATACCTTAGGAGAATTGGATTCTGACCAGTTTCCTCTGCCAACAATTTAAATTAAGACTAACTAAGACAAGACTTGAGACTGGGATGGGCCAAAAGTTTCTGGATCTTTATTAACCAAGGGAAAGCGAGCGAACCAGAAACTAACCCCCCCCCCCTAGGAATATGGGGAGGGAAGACTGCTCGCTCGATTACAGAATGATAGCTTGGTATAAGGTTCACAGAATTAAAGGTACAATAGACAAAGATTGATTCATGCGCCAGGTTAACAAGTATCAAATTGACAGCTGATATTCTACAATCTTAATTAAATCTTTTGACAAGTCAAAACAAACAAATTAACACTAACAACTAAAGACAAGTCTTGAGACTGGGATGGGGCAAAAGTTTCTGGATCTTTATTAACCAAGGGAAAGTGAGCAAACAAGAAATAAAAACCCCAAACCCGAATAAAAGAAGGAGATAATATTAATAAGAATAAAAATCGGATGTTGGTGAACTAGCGATTTGCTAGTTTAGTGGTGATAGCGTTCAAAAGGGCTAGTTTTTTGGAAGATGATAAAGTAAGATAAACTAAGGAGGCGTCACTTCTCCAATCTCCTTGAGCCTTGATAAACTCGATGGGAGCTCCGCAATTGAAGGCGAAGGTGGCACCCCCTTTCCTGAAACCGTGTGATGAAAAATGCGAGAGATCCTCACCAATAGACGAAACGCAACACCTGAGAAACAAATTGAAATGCTGGGCTAAGAAGGGCGTGAAACTAGAACCGTGTTGTGCTAAGAAAACCGGAGAATCGGAAGAGGCAGGAATCAAACTGAAATAAGTTTTAACTGTTTCGTACTTGGTCTTTCCAAGAAACGACCATTGTCGTTGCACCTCAAATTGTAGGATGAAGGCTGTTGAATATTAATTAAATCTGAAAGGTACTTAGGTGATAGGCCATGCAAAATTTAAAAGTTATCAAGAGTATCTTATAATGTATCCTGGAGCGCACTTAACATGTTGCAGTTTCATAGTCTGATATACTACTGATAAAAGCATGAACTAATTTCTCAGTTGATTCTCTGGATAAATATTTCCTAATATGACGTATATTGTGTAAATAATAGAAAGCGCTGCTACAAGTCTTTGTAATGTGAGTTCCCATATCTAGATGCATATCGAACCATGTGCCTAAACTGTGGGCAGAGGCTATAGGAGAGACTTCAGTCTGGTATATTTTCCAGTTCCAGTAAAACAATCATGTCTATATAATAAATTGAAATAATCATGATATTGGATTAAGGGGAACCATACCTGGAGGTTAGCGTAAGTGTAAGGACTGTAGTTTCTTTCGCACCACATGTCCTTGTGGTTCTTGAAGTGAAATTTGTCGCACACCATTACCATTTGTGACATTTTCTTGGCTGTGATAGTAAGCTGGTTTCTTGTTAGGTTTTGCGTGAATTTCTTGAAGTGGCATGTATCATCATAGCAAATAGTGTCCTTAAAATTTGGAAAGATGATTAATAACTTAGGTAATTGTAAATGAAATGGAATTTGGATAACTTTTGTAATGATTAAAATAGAACAGGTAACTTTTGTGTCTCACGGGTGGAATGTATTTGTAAGTTTGATCAGCTCTTCTGGTATGTTGGTATGACATAAGGAACTACTCTGAATGGTTATGAGATTAATAGTATCATTTCTGGTTGTCTGAAGTCTCTTTTATAACACTCATAAAGGTATTTACATAGTTCGTAACACTTGTTTGAAATAAGTTGAAAGTATGAACAGGTTACCATACCAATGTCTTGCATTACTGGAGACTGAATAAACTCGTGCAAATGTGCATAAACTTGTGTCTAGCTTTCTGTACGAAACAACTCCTTTACATCATCAACTACTGAGCATGGTTTGGCTACAGCAAGGATGCCTGGACGAACATGAGTTAAATACCAATAAAGTTAATTTATTGCCAGGCATGGTATTTTAGAGGTCAGTTATTACTATAACTGCAAGATAGTATGCATGCCTTGGATGTCTGGGAGGCATGTGTACATGAGAGCATTGAAACACAGTTGTGATATCAGATGTTTATAATTTATTATGCTGTGTGAGTAGTAATCATGCAAGGTGAGTTTGGAAAGGTTTTGAGTTAGAAACTCGGAAAGTTTTAAAGTGAGTTTCTAAGAAGGAAAGGATTTTTTTCCCTAAAAACAAGAATTCATTATGTGTACAAAACCTCTTGTACGACACTTTTCACAACTGATACATTTTGTTTTGTTTTAATCACTGCTATAAACAAAGAGTTTTGCTCCTTTTTCTTTTGTACGCATTGGATGATATAATTTTACTAAAGGGTTGGGAAAAGTCCTAGAATGCAATTAATTATAGAAACCCTCAATGTTGTTTGAGAACTGCATATCTGTCTTGAAATCTCCCTACATCTTTTTGTGTTTATATCAGTCTATGGGAACACTGGAAATGGTTTCTTTTGCATAACTGTCATTATTTCTTGTTTACCAGCTGTTCTGTGATTCTTTGCTTTTTGTTTTCCTTTTTCTGTACCACACTGTATTTTCCTTTGGAGCTCATTTTGGTCTTGGATCATAATATCTTGCTCTGTTTCGATGGCAAATCCTGAACTGTAATAAAAGAAAGACAATGATATTAGGACATTCTTATAGTTGCAATTCGGAACTGGTAGTTTAATTTTTCAAGGATTTTGGTGAGTGACTGAAAGAATACTTCTGTTTTGATGGCAAATCCTGAACTCTAATAAGAGAAACACAAATGTTATTCGGACAATCTCATAGTTGCAATTTGGAACTGGTAGTTTAATTTTTCATGGATTTAGGTGTGTGAAAGAATACCCGAGACCAAACTGAAGTTATTGCTACTGGTACGAACATTTAAATTCTTAAGTAACATTTATATTAATTTACATTGTATTTTCGTGCGTGGGCATGTGTACCTTTGCAGTGCTGGGGTTTATCGAATGTTCACTTGCTTGGTTGGAGTTGTTGGTGTCTCTTGAAGTTTATATTCGAGACGTTTTTGTACGAACTCATTAACGCATCGCGCCTTAGTAAATGACATCCATTATAAGCATATAAACTGAGGATTCGCTTTTAGCCCTGACTTAATGTATATATCATTTCCGAAAAATGTGTACATTCCAGTTCTAAATCCACCATAATTTCTTTGATTGATGCAAACTACAAGGCAATGTGGTCCTTGGATGTAAATAACTACAGCTGAAATCTGAACATGCTGATTTCAAACATCAGAGAAGCTAGGAAAAAATAACATTGATGTGGCTAACAAGCCTGTCAAGTGGCATCATGATAATTTAAGCTGCACTTGTACTAGACACAAAGGTGTGAGTGATGTGAACATGCACCATCAAAATGAAACATTATTTCATCAGTGAAAGATAGCATTAAGCATGTGTTAACCTCGTTCTTGCACGTTATAAATGACTCGTAATTAACAAATTAAGCTGCGTGGTATAAGAGAAACTACCATTTAAGTTTTATTTGTACAAATGACTTTAGTACCTCAGAGTAAAATTTATGCTTGTTTCAGCCAACAAAAACAGAGATGCCAGCCATTATCTTTTGATGATCACGCATCACTTTTCCAGAGATTGACTTTTATATCGTCAGTACAGAGCAATGCAAAGGAGTTTAATTAGAGAGGGTTACATAAACTAAACCTTGTGAAGTAACAGGAAAAAATTATGATAGTAATGAACATTAACCTGTTTCATCTGATAGTGTGAAGAAGCTGAGGACGTAAAAGACATATTGCTTTCAGTTGGATCCTCTCCACTCTTTAGAGATGTTTGCTTGTTTAGACTTACCCAGCAAGTCAGTGGTTTTGCTTCCACTCTTAGACCTGTTGCTAAAGGTATGCAGTTGTACTTTTTTTGTTTTTGTTACACTGGTCTTCTGATAACGTCTCATTAATTTGTCTGGTGCAGCAGTTCTTTTAGGCATAGTTTAGTTTAATAGTGCTTGTATGCCTTACAATTGACCGTTTAAAGCCTTCTGGACAAGTAACAGTCTTGGTAGATTATTCAGTGGTTTGCTCCTTGTCACTTGATGTTTATTGATACTAACATTTGTAGCAACTGAAGCAATTATATTATTCGATCTGAAACAGAGCAATACAGTTCGTCGTTACGCAGCTTATAATCTCTAGAACAATGATTTCACTGAGAAATACCTTAATTAGAAACTCTAATTTCACAATCATGCTTTACTCACTTCTGTGGTGGGTCATAGCTTAAAACAGGTTAGCCTTAAACCGGTTAGCTTGAATCTCTTGCACTGGTGAGCAATACCGGTTAGCAAAATACCTCTGATTGAAACCCGACAATGTATAAAACAGCATAAAATCTAGTAATCTCAAAATGGTAATCAATGTCCTTACTCTTTAACTAAATCAATGTTTGTAATCATGAGTTTATTTCCGGTTCTGTTAACGAAACACTGACCTCCTGCTGTTGCTTACAGAGGCTATTATTTCACCTTCTCCCTTTTATACCAGGACTCCCTCTATTGAATCACTGGAGAGTGAGAGTCACATTTCTCGTTATTTTAAGATTACTTTTGGCTAAACATCTACAGATAAATAGAAAAATGAAATATAACTAATCTTATATAAAAATCTTATCATGTTTAAGCAAGGCTGATGCCTAAGGAAATTTTTTGGGAGTCGGAACCACATTTCTAGGAGTCCACAAATCAATAAACTTAAAATTCATTATCACTGTTTGTCCTTTTGCTTTAAAGAATTGCCAAATTTTCCTCTACCTTCTTGGTCAAAATTGCAACTTCAGAGGCACCAAACTTGTTTTCTGGGCTTGCGGTACCCCTTCCTGGAAGCCCTTTATTGCTTTTCGCCAGTACTGACAAGTGAATGTCCAGTGTATTATGGGATGCTAACCTTGAATTAGTTGCCATTAACCTGCAGTTAACTAACCTGTCTTTTAAGGTGTCTGCACCGGGAAATTTTGTTCTTAAGGTACTAAAAAATACCAAAATAAATTATGCTATGTCACCCAAAAGGTGTTAATTTAATTACCCCCTAGGGTGGGACGGAAAGAGAAAAATCGAAATTTCAGAAGAAGCCTTAGAGTTATTGTAAAGAATTGTAACAGAAATAGTAATGTAAGATAGAATAATTCTGTGGTGGACCATGACATAGCTCCAATTAATCCACCCTCTAGGGCCAATTTGCTATTTTGTAGTTTGATCCACATTTTGATATCAGTAACTCAGCTGTAGGGCAACTCTAACCTTTGGTCGAACTCAGATCTCTTTATTAACATGCTCGTTGTGTATTTGTTAAATTTTATGAAGTAGTAATAATCCAGTCCTCCAAAAAAGTGGTTCCCGTAAGTCATGGTAAATCAGTCACGCTGTAATTAATTCTTTTCCAGTGAAAAAAGCTTTATTTTTTTACTGCAATTTTGAATCACCGCTGTGTAAAATTCTCGCAGAAGCCCAAAAAAATGCTTTAATAACCTCTCTATAGTCCCCTTGGATTCTGATACGTGACTAGTTGCTAGGTGTGACGCAATTCTGGAGGGTCTGTTAGAGAGAGACTTTATTTATTTGTATCAGGGTAGCCCATTCTGACGCCTTCAGCACTGCTATCAATTAGCGCCCTGATAAAAATTAAAATCATAAAACTCATCAAAACTATACAATAATAAGATAGACTAATACAAGTAAACGCTTAGAAAACTTTGTCTTAAAATAAGGACTATAAACAGTTACAGTGAACATGAATAAAATCTTAAAAAGAAAAAAACATTAAAAGTGTAACCTATTAGAAATTCTACAACCGTTGTAATAAAAATAAAATGTTTAGCCATGTCAGTTCGAACCCTTGGTAAGTGAAACCTGTTCATTTGTCTAGAAACGCAAAATAGCTTTTAAGAATTGTGGGCAGTGTCCTTTAATGCATCTGTTAACGAAACATGGTTCTCTCGTCTATTTACCAGTTAAGATAATCTAAAGTTTTATCACTGTCACTTATTTTTGTATGTAGTGAAGGTCCGATCTCCATTTCTCCCATTTTGCCTTAATACCATCTGAAACGGGTTCATCCCAGCAAGTGTTTTCTTTACACAGTTCTTGTAGAATTTTGTTGCCTTCTAATAGAACAGGGGCAACAAATCCCAATGTGCCAAAGATAGAGGTAATTGTGGATAGAATTCCTGTCTTTGTGCATGGTTTATCCTTGAGCATTATCTTAGAATTAAAAGAGTAATTTTCAATGCACCACTTTACTCCGTGCTCGTGCTCTCCTGGCAGAGGTCAAGATTTTTTATGTCTTCTTCTCTATCTTCAGTCGGTATGCTGTTGATGACTTCTTTACCCTTAGATGGACTTGTGTAAATTGAAATCTCCTCTTCTGCACGTCTCCTTCATGTGTTTGATAAGCTTAACAGCTTCATCTACTGATGGTACGGACTTGAGCCATCGTCCACATAGAAGTCACCAGGAATAAGATTAGCTGCTGGAGAACCAATTTCCTTACCATTGTCGTTAGCAGTAACTTTTCAATGGAAATTTCAGGAGCCTGGTGAGGTTGTAGCTCTGAACCGATGTACAGTCATCTGATATTCTTTAGGTTCCTTCGAAGTGTTGCCATTTTATTTCCCTACAAGAGAAAGTGTAAGAGGTTTCCACATTCTTCATTGACTTTCACTTGATGGAACATCTCTTCAACGTCACACATGTAGGCAATAACCTCTTTAAGAAATCTGCATAGGACGCCAGTCAGATTGTTGGTTATGTCC